ACGTGGATTAGGACGAATCTCTCCGCGGTTAACCTCAAACCCTAAGTACTCTACCTTTTGTTTCAGAAAAGTACACTTTTTAAAGTTGATGGTAAAACCCTTTTCAGACAGCACCTTAAGGACAATATTAAGACGTTCCAAGGCTTCGTCAACGTCACATGCAACAATCAAGACGTCATCCATATACACAACGACATAAGTGTTCACAAGATCTCCAAGAGCATTTATCATCGCACGCTGAAAAACCGCGGGTGCATTCTTCAAGCCAAATGGCATCGTCAGGTATTCGAAATGACCATCGGGGTAACGAAGGCGGTGCTCTCAATAGATTCTGTTGCAATGGGGATCTGGTGAAAACCTGATGCCAAATCGATGGTGGAAAAGTAGTGTCCTCCATGCAATCTATCAATTTGATCCGATATAAGAGGCAAAGGGAAACGATCAGAGATTGTGTTGTCATTTAATTCACGATAATCGACGCATAGTCGAAGAGACTTATCCTTTTTCTCCACCAAGAGTATAGGACTCGCGTAAGGGGATGAACTAGGCCTTATAATACCAGCCTGAAGCAACTCGTCAATTTTACCACGTACAACCTTACGCTCTTCCACACTCAATCGATAAGGACGTCGATTTACAGTTTTACTTGTATCCTTCAGACGAATCTGCATTGGCTGCGTATCGGCTGGTGCAGTAGGTATACCTGTAGTAAAAGATTTCTCAAAGGCCTGCAAGGTACTAACTAACTCTTTTCTACGATCCGCTGGTATGTCAGTATCAATAGAGTTCCAGTCAATTTCAGGGGTTCGCTCTACCTCACAAGAAGCAATAAAAAGAGACCTAAAGATCTTAACTCGGTCACTAGTCAACTGTACAGTCAAACCATGTTCTAGAATCTCACGTCCAATCATAATACCATAACGTAGAAGATGATCAGACAATATATGAAAACAAACCTCAATATTAATATCATCAATCTCTACCAAAGTTAAAATCTGTATTGTTGAGTTAACGGAAGTCTGCCCTATCCCAGTCATAGTCACAGTCTCATTAATACGCTTTCCTTTAAATTTACAGGCTATTGATTCTTTTATTAATGAACACTCAGCACCAGAGTCATAATAAAATGGAAATTTCTCACCGGAGTGACATAGAGTTCCAGTCGGTGCGTTCAAGAGGCACAGGTCAACCCTCTTCTCATTGACAGGCTTGGAAGACCCGGAGTCGGCACTGCTCCTCTCGTGCGCCGTGGACAGCTTGATGCGTAGTGGCCTTGCGCATGGCAGTGGAAGCAGGTGATCCCAGATGCACGAGGCTTCGCAGTTGCTGATGAACCTCTCCCATTGCCACTGGTGTGGTTGTGGTGCTTCGGAGTAGCTTGATTATCCTGTTTCACACCCTTATGGTAGCATTGCACGGATTTGTGACCTGGCTTACCACAGATGAAACACTTCAGAGGCTTCTCAGAGTTATTCACCCTGTATCGCTTCTCAGGGGCATCCCGGTCATCACTAGGTACCTTTCTTTTCATAAAAGAAACAGCTTGTAGCTCTTGTTGTAGCTGGCCACGTGTCTGAATATCGGTCGTGAAAGATAAGCGTTGCACACGGCGATCAAATTGAGAAATGTGAGCCAATATAGTAGCAATAGCCAAACGTTCAGTGCTAAGACCATTCCATCTTGCCATGATCGACGACATTAAACCAGCAGCGTAGGAAGCAAGACACTCGTTTTCTTTAGGCCTGCTGCTTTGCAAATCAATCATGAACGAAGCAATAGTAGCGGAATTATCGTACCTTGCAATAAAAAGTCGCTTAAAATCGGTCCACGTCATACCAGGATACGACACGGTAGATAGCCAGGTAGAAGCTCCTCCCTTCAAGGCGCGACTTAGAGCAACCATAAGCGGGGCGCCATGCTGGACTTGGTTCGTCAAACACATCTCTGCAGTCGTCACCCAAGCACGTGCATCCACATCTTGTTTTTCAGGATCGAAATCGGGTAAACGAAAGCCATGTGACGGCAAAGTAGGTGTTTTCATAGCTTCAATCAGCGTCAGAAAATTGCGGTTCTGTTGTTCTAACAGACGCATCCATTTTTCGTCACTAGCTTCATTACGAACGCGTGAGTCGTCGTCGTGGTCCAATCCCACTTCTGATGTCGGAGATACGCTACCCGTGGGTCGCGACATTGTCGAATCACACCAAAATACCAAATTACTGATAATAGTAAGAACGCAGGAAGTTTAGCAGGGAGTAACGCTTCTAGCTGCCGCCACCGCCGCGATCCTTTCCAAAAGTGTTTCCCGCGCTCAGTGACGTCTGTCAACGTCATTCGCTGTCAAATGTCAAAGTCTGATTAAACTTCCGGATCGATATTTCCATCAGTGTTGCCATTACTCCGCGCTAACCATCCTCAAGTAATTACTTGACGTTCTCAAACAATAGTTGCCACATCTAAATTAATTGATATGCGTTGACGCTTCGACATATATATATAAATAGTTTGACTGTTGGATCTTCTATATTTAAATTACTATTTAGTAGGTATCAGTAGTTTACTATGATAATGGTTATGATTAATTTTAAATACATATGGTTATGGTAGTGTTGTTAAATAGATCATAGGACCTTATATGGTACATTGTAGTTTGTTAAAAAAATACTTATATACGTGGTATAGTTTTCATTGTGAATCGAATGCCCTAAGGCTTCAATTTTAACAAGGATTCCCCTAAAAGAGGTCTCCTCTCCCTCCAATGGCCACAAATCTAGACCCCATCCATCATTCAAATCATTAAATTTTCACACAACAAAAACCTTAACTCATACAAATGAAAAACAACCTTATACGCTTTGTTTTACTGTTCTAAATTGCTAATTACCTACTTGAGCTTTAATGTTCTTTAGCTGGTACATTTTCAAATAAGTGTTTTATTCATTAGTCGCTTTTAAGACTAACCGCGGGAAGCAACACTGTGACCTCGTTTCATAGCCAGGTAAAAGAGCATATAACTCGTATGTTGAACGCAATAGAGGTTATTTTCCCTTGACACGTCTAGTTAAGAAAATGTTCACTAGGAATGAGTAGGTCTTTTCAGTTTGTTTATGCCTTAGAATTAACTATTTGGTGTCTACATTTTAAACGGCTTTGGTCTTTATTCCCTCAAGAAACAAATAAAATCGTTGAACAAAATAAAATTTCAGCTCAAAATAGATTAGCAAACAACATCAAAACTCTTGCATAAACGATAATTACGGTCGTATCCTTGCCAAACAAAATTGAACTCTAAAAGCAGCATACAACCAAACAATAGCCTAATCGATGTAAAATCCAAAAACCAGGAAGCTAGACAGAAAAAAACGCCTATACCGACCAGATCGACCTCTGACCGACCCGGTAATCGAACAGGCGATCAATCAAACACTGTCTCCCAACATTTATCTTCGAAACGTATATTAAAAGGAAAAACTGAATACATGGGGAACGCTAACCGGAATTATTCATGTTACGCTGTACGAGAGGTTTTTTTTTCTGTTGGGTTCCGTACAATAGACATACATACATAACTTCACGCCTGTCTCCCATTGGGGTAAGCAGAGACTAAGGAACGCCAATTACTACGATTCTTACATACCTCTTTCGCTTCATTAATAGTCATCAATCTTTTCATGCATGCTCGTCGGTTAAGGGTACTTTTAATTTTAATATGTCTTTTAATATGTCCGTCTAGGGCGCCCTCTACCAACGATTTTTTTAAAACCCATTAATACCTTACCCGACCCAGAAATCGAACCCGAGACCCCTTGCCCGGCAGTCGTACTTCGCGACCACTCGGCCACCGAGGCAGACATACTTACTTCTATTACTAATGGTTAATCGTCTTTTTACCATAAGTGAAAAGAATTTGAAATCGTATATTTATTATAAACTGAGACAGTTTCTGCTATAAGTTTAATATAATGTTGTCATACGAGTATATAATACAAACAGTGAGATTTAAAACTTCCACCCATGCCAATCTCTATGAAGTTTCACATGTATTATTTAACGTAAAAGTACTTTAAACTATCCGTACCAACTTAATTAATTCGTAAATCTTAAAATGTGTTAATTTTAAAGAAGATAATTAAGTTCTAGCCGTCTCTTATGCGTCCTATGTTAATTAAATGGAGGCAAGCACACCGTATTTTGAAGTGAAATTTTCTATAATAAACTTACCCACGGAATATTATGTGACGTCACGCCTTTTTGTTCCTAAAGGGCTAGGTAAAGATACACATTTTCAATATAATACTCACTTTTCACCAGTTGTGTTAGGAGTCCCATGGGATCCCATGTCCCATAAGCCTATTGTCATACATTGGCCATGATTCCAGTCTCCTTTCTATTGCTGTTTAAGTTTCATTTAATAACAATGAGTCTATTTCCATACACCGGGCACAAAGATGGTCTCCGAGTAATTGCTCATTATCAATTTTCGAAACATAACATTTAAACACAAAGTCAAAGTCAAAGCATTTATTTCAATTAAACCATAGTTTGGTACTTTTGAAACGTCAATAAATACAAAATAAATAATAGTCTGTCAGTCAGTCCGTCAGTGAAACTAGGTGAAGCTAGGTGCTCATTCCAAAAAGTAGATTCAAATGGAGAAGAACGAGCAAGAAACTCCATTCGTTACTCTTTTTAAAAAAGTATGTTCTACACTTTATCCGACTCAGGAATCGAACCCAAGACCCCTTGTTCAGTAGTCGCACTTATGTCCATTTGACAGACTTTACTCACAAAATATACAAATTTGAACCATTACTTGCGGAACCCTAAAAGATTTAACGTCACGGGCCATCGGCTACCAGATTCATAGTGCTAAAATAAATATTGCTTTTGTAGGCTATTGCCTTTTTGAAGGGTTTTTTTAATAGGAAACATGAATGGAAATACAAATATACACATATACATACCGTGACTGTTATGTATAGATCACATTTTTCATTGTTTTATGTGAAAATAAAATCGAAGTTGGCATTCGAATAGTTGTAAATCTTTATATATATAAAATTCAAAGGTGATTGACTGACTGACTGACTGACATAGTGATCTATCAACGTACAGCCCAAACCGCTGGACAGATTGGGCTATAATTGGATTGACTGACTGACTATGATAGTGATTATCAACGTACAGCATACAGATTGGGCTATAATTTGCATACAGATAGATGTTATGACGTAAGCATTCGCTAAGAAAGGATTTTGATAATTTCCACCCCCAAGGGGGTAAAAAAGGGGATGAAAGTTTGTATGAAACTTTGTCAGTTTTTAACTGATCGGGTTGAAATTTGGCATGCAGATAGATGTTATGACATAAGCATCCGCTGTGAAAGGATTTTGATAATTTCCACCCCCAAGGGGGTAAAAAAGGGGATGAAATTTTGTATGAGACTTTGTCAGTTTTAAACCGATCGGGTTGTAATTTGGCATGCAGATAGATGTTATGACGTAAGCATTCGATGTGAAAGGATTTTGATAATTTCCACCCCCAATGGGGGTAAAATAGGGGATGAAAGTTTGTATGAGACTTTGTCAGTTTTAAACCGATCGGGTTGTAATTTGGCATGCAGATAGATGTTATGACGTAAGCATCCGATGTGAAAGGATTTTGATAATTTCCACCCCCAATGGGGGTAAAATAGGGGATGAAAGTTTGTATGAGACTTTGTCAGTTTTAAACCGATCGGGTTGAAATTTGGCATGCAGATAGATGTTATAACGTAAGCATCCACTTTGAAAGGATTTTGATAATTTCCACCCCCAAGGGGGTAAAATAGGGGATGAAAGTTTGTATGAGACATTGTCAGTTTTAAATCGATCGGGTTGAAATTTGGCATGCAGATAGATGTTATGACGTAGGCATCCGCTGTGAAAGGATTTTGATAATTTCCACCCCCAAGTGGGTAAAATAGGGGATGAAAGTTTGTATGAGACATTGTCAGTTTTAAATCGATCGGGTTGAAATTTGGCATGCAGATAGATGTTTATGACGTAGGTATCTGCTGTGAAAGGATTTTGATAATTTCCACCCCCAAGTGGGTAAAATAGGGGATGAAAGTTTATATGAGCCTTTGTCAGTTTTAAACCGATCAGGTTGAAATTTGGCATGCAGATAGATGTTATGACGTAAGCATCCGCTTTGAAAGGATTTTGATAATTTCCACCCCCAAGGGAGTAAAATAGGGGATGAAAGTTTGTATGGGACTTTGTCAGTTTTAAATCGATCGGATTGAAATTTGACATGCAGGAAGACGTTATGACGTAGGCATCCCCAAGTAAGGATTTATGATCATTTCCACCTCCAATGTGGTAATGTAGGGGATGAACGTTTGTATGAAGCTTTGTCAGTTTTACACCGATCGGGTTGAAATTCGGCGTGCAGATGGATATTATGACGTAAACGTCCCTTTAGAAAGGTTTTTGAACATACTCACCCCAAGGTGGGTAAAATAGGGGGTGAAAGTTTGTATGATACTTTGCCAGTTTTAAACCGATTGGGCTAAGACTTTGCATGCATAAAGTTACTATGACATAGGTATCTACTTAGGATATATCTAAAGGATATGATAAATTCCACCCCTAAAGGCCTAAAGGGATAAAATAGGGAATTAGAGTTTGTATAAATCTTCTTAGCCATTGAATGTAGAATCATTGAATCTTTTAGAATTACATTCGGTAAAACGATGATTTGGGACCTGGGTAACGTTTGATAGTATTTATCACAGATGTCCCACGGGAACGGGAACTATGCGTCAATGCCCCAGGGCTCTCTAACTCTTAACCACTGAACTTATTTTAGAGAGATTCGGTACAACAATAGTCGATAGAATAGTTTTTATTACCCAAACCTTACGTGATTGGGCACTGTACTGGTAAGATCCCTGCGGGATTATTTATTTATTGAAACTACGATAAATCATTTCAAAATAGGTAAATCTTACTCGAGCACTGAATTGATTCTGATTAATTCTGTCAGAAGTCATTAATCTACGCGGACGAAGTCGCGGGCAACAGCTAGTAAGATATAAACTTGTCGGTCGCCGATTTCATTCGATTTTTACGAAGTATTAATAAAAGTTATGGGGTTTGACTGTAAATTATCTCCTGTTATTCTCAGAAAATGTAGATTAAAATTTGATAATGCATTTTTCACTAATAAGAGGTGTCTAATGGATTTAAGAAATTAAGTGTGGGAGAGCCATACTTCGGCACGAACGGGCCGGCTCGACCGGAGTGATATCACGGCCTCAAAGAAAACCGACGTGAAACAACGTTTGCGTTGTGTAAGTGAGGTTACCGGAGGCCCAATCCCCGAATCCCCAACAATACTAAAATTCCTAATCCCAAAAGGCCGGTAACGCACTTGTAACGCCTCTGGTGTTCCAGGTGACCATGAGCGCCGATTGGTTATCATTAGGTAATCCGTCTACTCGTTTACCGGCTATCCCATAAAAAAAGGAAAAAATATGAATTGTAACTCCTGTGGCATTGCAGCAGGTGTCCATAGGCTACGTTGATCATTTAGCATCAGGTGATTAATCAAATCTAGATTTCATATTCTCTGTAGCCAATTTAAAAGAATCTAAAAAACAACCAATTAACTACATTCAACCAATGTTATAAATTACAAAACACTAAGATTAACAATTTTCCCATTTCAGCTTAATTTATTTAGAAAAGAAAATGGAAAAGAGAGGAAAAAAGTGGAAATAAATTGGTTTTATTTATGCGTCCTCCCTTCCACCATATCCGTTAAGGGTAGACAGAGATACCAAAAACGAACAATGGGATGTATAATTGAACTTTGGTTTGTGACAGCGCGGTTTCTCGTTGAGAACGGCTTCATTTTGCTATCAATCAACTTACACTGTTGTCTGTGTATTAATCTTTTAGGCAGATTTATTAGCTTAAAAACTGACTGAATGATACTTTTTTTTGAGAGTGGAAAATCAGCCAATGACTTCTCAGGACATATCAGATTCTTACTGACTAAAAACCATCGTGTGCCGACTTCTGCTTTTCGAGCTGGAGCCCTGACAATCCTTTAAGGCTTCCGCGGCTCCGTATCGGGCATCAGCCCTACTGGGCCCCATCGATGGTGGCCTGATGGCTCTTTGAGGCACATGCGGAACGCGACGTGCCGCACGCTCGGGGTCTGAATGATACTAAGGTTTTTTTGGTAGAGCATCTAACTTCTTATAACGTTACTATAATATTATACATAGAAGAAAATGTCGTCCGCCAATGTCATCGCTTAGTGGTCAAACGCTGACCTATAATATAAATTAATTGATGATTTGTTCACTTCGCTGGTAGATTCTAGGTTATATTTAGCTTTACAAGCTATAATTTTTTTATGGTGGTATTACAAAATTTTGCACAATACTGTTTTTGAAGGTTATAATCAAGATTCTAGAACATCACATTAACAACGAATTATAAGACACAAAACCACACCTCGTATAACCAATAAATCTAGAATTAAACTCCCTAATGATATTATAAATTCGACTAATTAAAAACAAATCAATTTGTTCCCCGCCTCACTAAATTGCGTTCACGAAAAATAGCTTTAAGTCCAAAAGGACCAAATCGGTTTCAAAACTGAAGATACCAATAGTAAAGTCATTTGTTCAGTCTAACGAATATTAGTTTTTCATAGATATTTAAACCGCAGCTGGGACTAGAAACTGCTATTTTATTACTTCTATTAATTTTGGGGGCTTAGAAATTATTCTTCGAGTTCGAGAACATCTTTCATAAAAATAATTAATACTTTTATTCCAATGCTTGAGTTTAATGAAAACATTTATTTCTATGCCCTTTTTTTGGCTGATGAACTTGAAGATTTAGGTTCATTGAGCAAAGTGTTATTAATGTTTTGATTTCGAAATATCTACATCACTTATTTGGACTCTTTTAATGTAAAACAGTACTGTTCAATGCGATACACGTAGAATAGAGACTACAGAATTTACCTGACAGAAATTTTTCATCATACTTCTTTGGTTTTAAATCAGAAAACAGTATAGTTAATCTAATCTTATAACAAACAAAAAAATATCTAAACCAATTCCAAAAACATGTCCATAAGGACCACAATAATTCTCTAAAATATGCACTTGGTCCTTGGTTATTTTTTAAAGTTAATGCAAGTTCTTTAATCACAGCTTCCACCAGTATATTCTCCCCTTATCCTGAACATCAAAGACAATTATCTTGACATCTCAATATTTAATCTTTCTTTCTTTCACCCCCCTAGCATCTCTCTCGTATTGTTCTGATTTGCATTTCGAATTACAGTGTCTTACTCTTGACTAATTTGGTTAAGACATTTAATGGTGTAATTGTTTCTTATTTTAGCGTCATTTTGTTTATACAGCTAGATATAATATTATGTTAAGATGTTAAGATCATTGGGAGAGATCTATGAGCAATACTGAATGCCTTATGACTAATATTATAATGAAAATGAAGTTAATTTTATACTTAAATACCCAAGATGATCCATAGTTTTTTGGACGCAAAACAGAAATTTAACGTGCATAAAATAAGATTTAGAATCCAACTGACAACATTGATTTTTGCTTCAATATATTCAAATAGAGTTCAATGTCAACTTTAACCTAAGTGGTTATTGAAATTAGTACTATGTACACAGAATATTAAAGTTCAGAGTACAATAACCGAAAATTGTGCGTATTCAAGTAATATTCATTCAAATCACGTTAAGATTGAAATGCTGACTACAATCTAGATTACAAAAGGCCTATGTACTTCAAATTATGTATTATTTATTATACATAGGTCATCAACGCCAACAGCCTGTGACAACAACCCATTGGTAGTTCATGGGCCTGTTTTACAGACTCTAATGTATTTGCTATTCGTATATATATATTCATTGGCTGAGTGGTTCCACGCACAACTGCCGGGTAAATGGTCTTGGGATCGCCTGAAATATTACTGGGTTTTAAAAAAATTGTCAGCACGGAGTCTGGAATTGTGTCCGGTGCGAATGGCAATAGACTCACCCCCTATTACCCTCACCCCAATCCCTGAATCCCTAACAATCCTCAAATTCGTAATCCCCAATAGACTGGTAACGCACTTGTAACGCCTCTGGTGTTTCAGGTGTCCATGGGCGACGACGTGTGCTTACTATCAGGTGACCTATCTACTCGTTTACGCCAGCGTACATACCATAAGAAAAGCTAGTCGGATAGCGAGAAAAGTAGTATTGGTTATAAATGTATTCTATCTACTTTACAGCCATCTCACAGTGCGGCTCAAAGGAATATAGACCTAATTATCTAGAAATTACATTGCTGTCAAGAAGACCTGTTTAGCGAATATTGTTTGACACACAATTTCCTTAGAAATTTATATATAAGTGGTGTATAGATGACTTTATAAGAATGGTATGTAACTTTTAATAGCTGTCTTTGATACGTCAGCCCACTCATATATTTTGGTTTGAAATAAGCCACTTCTAAATATTTTGTAACTTTTTAAGAGGTATAATTACTTGGGAAGCAGGTATGAGTTTATTGACATTTACCTTTTTGATTCTCTTTTTAATTTAAAAAACATAGATAACGTTCAGAGCTTACATTGGTCAGTAGTAAATTTTGATCACTGCTTTAATTTAAGTGAGCAGACCGAGTCAATCTCATCTATATTATGTTGATATCCGAATTTTATGTCAAACTCATATTTTTTTTTTTGACTGCCTCATTGGCCGAGTGGTCGCAAGTGCGACTGCTGGGCAAGGGGTCTCGGGTTGGCTTCCCGGGTCGGGCAAAGTATTACTGGGGTTTTTTTAAAAATCTCAGTAGTAGCACGGAGTCTGGAAATGTGCCCGGTATATGGCAATAGGCTCACCCCTTATTACATGGGACTCATAACATAAATAGTGAAAAGTTAGTGTTACTTCTATGTGCACCTCTGCCTACCCCTTCGGGGATAAAAGGCGTGATGTTATGTTATGTTACTCATATTTTCTTGTATCTTATTAAAAAAAACATAGAGAATGAAAGAATCAGATCAAGAGTTTAAAAGTATTAGAAACTCCGTAAAATTTGTATCAATAAACCAAAGTTTAGTTACTTAAAAATTCACATGCGAATTCTACCTAATTATCTTGAAAAAATAGTTTTATATATAATATGAAAGTCTAATTACTGCATAAAAAACTTCATAAGCAAAACTAACGTCCCAAAAATATTCTTCCACAAATTCAGCTCGACGCGTCACACTCGCAGTGAAAACAAAAAAAAAACAACAATATCCTGAAAGCTTCATAATTTTGATGGATAAATTAACGTTGAGCATTTTATATGCATATTTTAAGAGTGAACGAGCAACAGAAAATTTTTACTCTGTGGAAAATTGTGAATAGAAAACCTTATAGGTAGGTACATAAAAATATCTAAAATTGTTCCTATTTCGCGAAGGACAGTCAGCTACGAAAATAAGTGGCATATTTTTACCGCGAATTTATTCGGTATGCTTAAATGGCGATGGTAATTTTCTTTTGTTTATTTTGTTTTTTATTATTATAATATTTCTTGAAAGACAATGTTGCAAAAATGTCTTTAGGTTGAAGGTATTTTGTATAAGCTTGTTGTTTGATGGTATTTTCGTGGAATTTTTTGCCGTGTTCCCGCCATAATGTCGTTGAAGCTT